AAAAAAAAAAAAAAAAAAAGAGAAGAAAGTGACAGAAGTCTTCAATCTCCTCCTTTTATTATGTAGGATTCATCTCCTCCTGAACTACAGGCAGAATTTAGCAATCACAGCATCCCCTGAATCAGTAGCTCAGAAACGGAATGGGACTGCAATGACTCAAGATGGGAAGATGTGTAATTATGTCATTCCTCTGAGGATGTACAGAGTAACTCGCCCTCACTTTTGAATGATGATCAGGGCTGCATCAAAGTTCCCAGGGTTTCTGTTTAAAAATCATTCACAGTCTTAGGTGGAGGGAAAATCTGGGTACCAGCAGTTATAAGATGACCATGGAATGTGTGCAAATGCTCCTTCTTTCACTGTGGGATTGTCTCTCCGGAATTTGTAGCCTCCCACCCTTCCACCAAACCCCAAGTGAATTCATCCTCCTTTAATTCCTCAGAAGGAAATGCCTTCTGAAAAGCCATTACTGTACAGATTGGGAAATCAAGAGAGTCAGGGAGGCTGCAGAGGGGTGGAGCAAGGCCCCGATATCCATCACCAACTTATTAGCAATCAGGGATGCTGAAAGTTACCCCCAGAAGGAAAGGAAAAGTATTCTGACTCATCTCGAGAGGGAGGCAGAAAAACAAATCTTGTTTGCAAGGGAAGGACGCTTTGGAGAAACCGAAAGTCAGGGTTTTACATTTGCAGTTAGAATAAAGAAGGAATCTGAAACTCAACTCTGTTCTGACACTTCCCCTTTAGGGCAGGAAAAGGCATTTCTTGCTACTCACTCCATTCCACAGCAGCCACCGTTTCCACGCAGACACGGGCATTGGTTGGGCAGGTCAGCTTTTTCATGCGCTCCTGGCTGCAACCGCCGTCGCCAAAGTCCACGCAGCTGTGGCACTCCAGAGCCAAGGCACCTGGACAGGGCAGATGGCCGGGACCAGAAAAACCCAATTAAAAGAGTGAAAATATATTGGTGTGGGCTTTCATGGGGAGCATCCATGAAGATGTGATGAACTTTTGGGTTGAATGACCATCGTCTAATTTTCTTTTGTTCTGATGGCCATCCAGCCCGAAAGCTTATTACGCCTAATTAAAAGAGTGACACTTTTCATTAGGACTCCTGGAGAGCTCTGAGATTGAAATTAGAAGCAATGAAAGGGATGTATCTGATGTGATCGAGAGATCACATCCAAATAAAGCATACATAAGGAAAGCAGAGTCATGCTTTTGGTGATCAATCGGTCTGGCCGTAGGGTAGTAACCCTGCAAAAGTGGGATTAGCGTGATTCCTAAAGAAATCTCAGGGTTCCATTTCTTTGGGTGTCTAATTTGCAAAATGAATTTGCAAGGTGCAAGGCCCCAGTGTTAACCATCTTTCATACCTTTTGGACATTACTAATTTGAGAGCAGATGCTTGACCCACAAAGGACTCCCTGTGCCTTTTTTCCCTCGTGGGCATCTCCCCAATCCAAACTGGAAAATTTAATCTCTCCCCCCCCCCCCCTTTTTGGTTCTTTTTTTTTTTTTTGTTTTTTGGCCTTTTTTTTTAACCACTCTCCCCCCCCCCCCCCCCCTTTTGGCCCTCCTTTTTTTTTTGTTTTTTGGCCTTTTTTTTTAACCACTCTCCCCCCCCCCCCCCCCCTTTTGGCCCTCCTTTTTTTTTTGTTTTTTGGCCTTTTTTTTTAACCACTCTCCCCCCCCCCCCCCCCCTTTTGGCCCTCCTTTTTTTTTTGTTTTTTGGCCTTTTTTTTTAACCACTCTCCCCCCCCCCCCCCCCCTTTGTGGCTCATCTTGTTTTGAGTGCTTTAGGCTCTTCTTTAAAGCCATCTGCACCTGCTCCTACTTCTTCATGTCGATCTGCAGAGCTCTCCTTTCTCATTATAGCCTCTCCCGCCCTGTCTTTCTCCTGCGTATCTTCCTCTTGGCCCTTTCATTCTCTGCTCCTGTTCATACATGGCAGTGACTGCGCTAATCCTGATGACTCCACCCTAAGGTGAGACTCATCCAAATGCTTCCATCGGGGAGAGCGCCCCAGGACTAAGGAACATAGCATCACGTGTGTCAGAACAAGTTCTCTTATTGTTGCTGCTTCTCCAGAATCTAAGAACTTCTGAAAGAGCGTGAGGAGCTTTCATGAATAGAATATTTTGCAAATGCATTGAGTCATGTCATCCAAACGGAAGCTAAGCAAGGGCACTTCCACTCCCACCCTGTTTCCTCTCCCCAGCTCTTTGAAAGCAACTTAATGACAATCTGCAGATTCCAACATGCTGAAAGCAAGGCACAAAAATCAGTGTCCTACTCCAAACACTGGAGGTTCAAAAATCCTTAACCCACCCCTTCACACAAAAGGAAAAATAAAGTGAACTGCTTGCCCCCTTCCCCAGTGTCTTTACTTGTGTTGTATGTGTCGGCTCATATGCAAACAAACCAACTAGCAAACCGTCTGAGCAAATCCTATCACAGGGAGGAGCAGAACTACCAAGCTGACTTTCTCCTTGAAAGACCTGTTAGGGTGTCTGTAGTCTGGAAGCTGGGGGTGGGGGCAAGGTGAAGCAAAATTTCCTCCTACAGATGAGGAAATAGGACACCCACAAACTTCCCACAGCTGCAGTAGTTCAAAGGAAGACCAGGTTTGCTGTGGTTTTAAATAAACCACAAACATAACCTGAAATAATTGGGACTAGCCATCAAACCAAGACAGTGCTGTGAGATCACGCAGGCGCAGAACTCATTCTGGAATGGTGCAAAGACTCCCCTATGGAAGTCTGTTTACGGATGCATCTTGCCAGAGGAAGTTCTGGACAGTAAGCCAAATTAGATAACTCTAAAGTTGATGATCAGAATTATTTCCCCAGTTGAGCATAAGTGACATTATTGCAGAACCTTGTCCAGTCTGAGATTTCTGTTGCTGGCATTCTGATAATTCCTTGCGGACAAAGCTACCTGTGCACTCTCTGTTGTGTAGCCCTAAAGAACTTGCTACCCCTGGAAAATGAAGTTGCCCCACTAAGAGTGTGAGAAGGAGGCCTAAGATTTGAAAGGCAGTTTGAAGCTGATTCTAATGGGGTCAAACAACCTGTGGAACACAGATCCATACAATTCCCCCATTTGAGGCAGATATGAGGATGAGGCAGATATGAAGAAACCTTGTTTGGAATCCCCTTCTGTTCAACACTTGTATTTTCTTGTGTGGAAGTTATCTTAATGGTTATTTCTAACCACTGTTTCTAATTTTACACAAACAATGGTTAAACATCCTAAAGCAAGATTTCTTCCATCCTTTCTCCCAATTTCTTTCTTGTATATGCATGTTCACGCAGCAGGGATATAACAAATAGCTATAAGTTTGGCCATGTTGGCTATGGACTTCAGGCTTCTAAAGAGGCCTACTGGAGAAGAGGCAAAAGCCCAAATCATGGGCTTTTGGGTTTGTTTTGTTTTGTTTGAAAGCATGATTTTCTTTAGTTTTGGCCTTTGGGGTTGATTGTGGAACAGAAGATAAAGGACTGGGCTTGGCCATAGTGAAACTATAATTCAAAAATTTCCTCAGATGGTAAGGCATTGAATATAACTGCCTGTTGACCTGAGCCTGCCACCTTTGGCATCCATTAGAAGCCACAATGACATCATGCAGGTCATGTTGTCAGTTCCCAAAGTATGTAAATTCCATAATTCCTGTCAATTGCACAATGACCTTATAACATTTGTGGTACCATTCCTCTTCTTGCCTGCCCCAGTTTTTTGAAGAAATGGTTGGTTAATGGTATCTTTCTATCGGTTCTTTATGAGGTGAAGAGAATGGGGGCTAAGATCCTGTTTCCCCAGATTTTCGGTGAGGTTCAGAGATGTGTCTGATGTGTCTGATGTGTCTGCCTGAATAAATGATCATTTGCTCAGTGAGATTCACGATTGCCACATTTCTCAGTCTTCCTATAGCTGAGGATAATGAGGAACCAGGATGCCTTTCCAATTTTCCCAACCTGTATTGGGAAGGGACCAAAAACTAAAGGAACAGGTTGCTATATTGTGTCCTCAATCAAGTAGAGTGGTGTTTCTCAAACTCAACAGCTTTAAGATGTATGGACTTCAAATCCCAGAGTTCCCCAACCAGCCATGCTGGCTGGGGAACTCTGGGAGTTGAAGTCCACACATCTTAAAATTGCTAAGATTGAGAAACACTGAATTAGAGTTAAGTTACTCTGAACAACCCTGTGAAGTACACAAAGCAAAGAAATGAAGCCATGCTACAAGTCACACAACAAACTTCAGCGCTGGGTTGAATAGTACAACTGTCCTCACAATTTACCAGACTGGCTTTTTCAGATATGCATCTCAGTTCCCAAGCAGAGAATGGCTTCTATGACTTCATGATAGAAAAAAGAAGGGAGACTTCCCCATGAAAGAAAGTTGAGATTAAGAGGGCAAGTCTCATATCCTGAATAATAATTTGAATAACAAGTCCCTAACAGTTTGATAAATTAAAAGAATGCCTTGGATTTTTCAATCAATCAATAGGAATGTAGATGATTGATAGATGATAGATAGATGATATAGAGATAGATAGATATTTGCCACATAATGTCTTCTAAAATAATATTTGCAGCAGCATGGTCTAAAAAACAAAATTTGCTTTGATCTTTAGAGCAACAGTTTTGGCACCTCCATATATTTATGCCAAGCAAATGCATCAATTCGTCATCTGGTTGACGCCCTAACAAAATCTTTAATTTAAGGATTCATTTAGCTCTGTGCTAGAATTTAAATTTATACCAATAAGCATAGGAATGAACCCAAGCAGGTAAGGATATACCTCTCATTTCACATCCCCTAATATCTGATGCCTTCCTCATGCCAGAATATCTATGCTTACACAGATAGGCAAAGTTACCATTCCTGAGATCCCATCTGAGAGAGGATTTAATCACCATGCACACTTAGCATGATTCCTCATCCAAGCCTGCCCCAGATGCTACCCCTTGCTTTCCAAGCATCCCTGGTCCCAACACGGCTTATCCTGGAGCTGTAGCAGTTGTCACATAATCCTTCCATCTCCTACCTTTCATGAAAAACATCAGGGCCACCAGAAGGACAGATGGGCTCGTTTGGAGCTGGAGAGAGGCACCCATCATTATGTCTGCTAAGTCCCAACCTTGCTTTGGTTCTTTTTTTCCCCCTTTGCCTGTCTTGAGAACGTTCTGCTTCTGTCAAGTCCTTGGAAGATAAAGATTAAACATTAAGTATAAGTTGATGGCTAGGGCAGGGCATTCTTCCTCATCTCCCAGGCACGCCTCCTTAGACTTTGCTGTTCAGCAGCTTCTTGCTAGCCTGGAGGGCTTTTTTCCATATATCTCATCTGAGTAACCCATCTGTTCCCTTTCCCAGCACTTTGAGGACACTTACAGGGGTGACGCCCCTATCAGAAACTAGAACAGCCAGTTGAGGGATTTTTTTTTTCCTGACGCTCTTCATCCAGGACTTCAAGGCAGGAGAGAACAGCAATTAGAGGCAAGTCTGAACTTGGAGAACCAAGAGTTGGCAAAGGTGATAGAAGACGTTGGGGAAGTCCAGAAAAGGAATTCTTGCTTTCTCCATCAAGCAGAACCATTTGGGAGGTCATGGTAGGGCCTTGCTTTAGTTTCCATGAGGTAATCCTCATCTAGATCAAGATTTATAGCTGCAAAAGCTGTTCCACCTTCCTCCAGAAGAAATATAACCCTGCTTCTCCTACTGAACCAGCCCTTCTGGTGAGTGGGAGATTTATGGAACCTTGATTTGCCCAGAAGCAAGTGTATCCCCACAGTGTGGTCAAAAAAATTGGGATGGTGTTTGTGATGGTGTGGAACAAAGCTCTGCCCGTTTTTTTATGTCAATGCACGTCTTTTCTGACCACATCCTGTGGACACCCCTGCCCAGCAGTGTGGCAATGCTAGACTTTGTAAAGTCGCTTGAGATGTTTCCAGCCTTTGAAAACTATTCCCAATTCTCTAAAAGGGGTGGCAATGTATGTATGGCATGTGTTTCAGGAAAAAAATACACAATTTATGGGGATATATAAAAAAACCTTGGAATGATTTTAACAGGAAGGATAAAGAGAAGAAGCAGAAGAAGGTTTGGATGAACAAAGCCAGGTTTTAAATAATGAGTTTGGTGGGAGCGTCAATAATTAATTGATCCTCAGGGGAATGAAGGATTTTCTATATAGTTAAACCTGTAGTTAGCTTCTCTTGGGTTTGGAAATAAAGCTCACCTTCCATTACTTGCTGGGTAAGAATTGTGGAAAGGCCGGTCTTAACTGTTGTTATCATCTCCTTCCCTCCCACTCTGGTAGGCTCTGTTACTGTTTTATTATTTTTCTTCCGTTCAGAACCTCAAAACAATATTTTGCTCAGACTATATTCCTCATTTCTGCCCACGGTTATGTAGTAACCACCAGAAATCTGTGGGCAGACCAATCTGTTAATGTCATTTTTTTCTTGCCTCTCAATTTCTTAACTTCTTCCCTTCATGTTTGCCACAGAAATGTCAAAACTCCAACAAATTCTCTTTCTCTCTCTCTTTTAATAGAAAAGAGGGAAAGCCTTTTTCTTCTGCATCAACTGAATTCAACTGGTAGTGCCATTCCTGGGGTAGACAATGTTGTATCTAACTCCAGGTAGTTCTTCAACCTGAGCAACCTGTCCCCCCAAAACAAACAAATAAATAAAGGCTGGAAATCCTAATTCAGTAGCACAAGCACACCTAATGAGAGGACCAGCAACATCAACACAATAACAATAAAATCCAAACCACAATTTTTTTAAAAAAAAAATTTCTCTGAAATCTTTACCCTAGATGTTTTTAAATAGTGAGAACTGCAAATGCTGTGTTGCTGTAGTCGCAGTGATGGGCCAGATCCAGAAAGACTCAGGTTTGTATCCACCCTTAGCTGTGGAAGATCACCAGATGACATTGGATCTATCATGATCTCTCAGCATTGCCTTCTAACGTGATTATGGGGATCACACGGCGAGGGAGAATGGCAGGTACAGTATATTGCCTTGAGCTGAGGGAAATAAAATGAGGATATACACCTAACAAATAAATAGATAATATATAAGTGCCAAACCAACCTTTTTGCTGTCTTTAAGTCTGACCACCATGGGACCAGAGGAGTAGGTGTACTTAATTCTCTTTCCTCAGTTTTTTTTTTCATCACATAAACCCTCTTCCTCTTCAAGAAAAAGAGATGGGTCATACATCTTTTCCTCTGTGCAGGAAAAGCCACTGGAAAAAGAACAGGATGAATGGATAGGCTCAACCAACCCTTTTCTTCTTCTTCCTCCCCCCATAAAATCTGTAGTTGGAGTATAGGGAAGATCCTATGGAAATGTCTTATGGTGATTATGGGGATCACACGGCGAGGGAGAATGGCAGGGACAGTATATTGCCTTGAGCTGAGGGGAATAAAATGAGGATATACACCTAACAAATAAATAGATAATATATAAGTGCCAAACCAACCTTTTTGCTGTCTTTAAGTCTGACCACCATGGGACCAGAGGAGTAGGTGTACTTAATTCTCTTTCCTCAGTTTTTTTTTTCATCACATAAACCCTCTTCCTCTTCAAGAAAAAGAGATGGGTCATACATCTTTTCCTCTGTGCAGGAAAAGCCAC